CATAGCAGATGTCACTCCAAGTATTCAAAATACCTGTTGACACAGCAATACATAGTACAGCAAACTGACAAGTGGTGTTATTAGTGTCTCCAATCAATGTCACTTGAGATAGAAAAGAGCAAATTAAGAAAGCCATCTGAGATAGGGCAGGCAGATGCCAGTCCTCATGACAATCACCGATAAGCCAAGGAACAGAGCCACACAGAGATAAGGAACTTCTCCCAGTGCTGACAGAGAAAGCTCCCCCTGCAGCCAGTACCCTGATTCAGACTTCCAGCCTCCTATACTCAGCAAAAATAAACATCTATTTGTTAAAGCCCCCACTTGTGGCATTTTTGCTAAAGCAGTGCAAGGTAGTCAAGACAAGTCATAACAAGGCATTCATTTTTAAGGGCCTACTAAACATTGGTGGCCTGTGGTAAGAAGCTGTGCTCCAATCATAAAGGCATGCAGTTTGAATTCACCAGCTGCTCTGCAGAAGAGGATGGACAATCTTCTCCCACATGATTTAATGCTTCTGAAAACCTACAAGAGGATCATCTACTGGTCTGTTCTAACTCAATGGTGCACAATAATAACATACCTTAGTATAGGGAGCTCTGGGGACAAGGAAGTGTGAGGCCAACCCAAAAGCACAGTTCAAACCCACCAGCTGTTCCACAAGAGAAAGATGGGCAATCTCTTCCCATGCGTTTTACTGTATCTGACATCTCACAGGATGGTCAATTATGGGTTGGTTCAGATGTAAAGATACATAACAACAGCAACAACATACACTAAGATAGAATCCAGAACAGGCACACAGTTGATTCCAACTCAGTGAAACCTAACAACAACACACCAGGTTCATGACATTTCTAACCTAGTGTATATTGTTGTTGTTGTTAGGTGTCATCAAGTTAATTACAATTCATAGCTACTATATGAGCAGCAGATCTAAGCCTTGCCCTATCCTCACCATATTAGCGATCTGTCATGCCCAAGCCTGTTCTAGGAGTCACAGTGTCAATTCATCCTGTTATAGGTCTTTCTCTCTTCTCAAGCTGCCCTTTGGAGTCAGTTTTGCTAGTTCATATCCTCATTTCTTCCAACCATTCTTGCTACTTCACATTCAAGAGCAAGTTTCAGAGTCTTCTCTGATGCTCCTTTTCCTTTATTTCCTGTCTGTTTAACTATCTTTTGCTTTCTCTATGCATCAGATCCTTGAGGTTACACACAACTAATTTGTTAGTGTGCAATGTGTCAAATCTTTTCTATATTTTGGTGTACCTAAGTATTTACAAAGATGCATATGTAATAAGAATGTTCATGCCAGTATTGAATCTAATA